AATATATTTAATTAGTTTTAATTTTTTTATTTTTTTGGTTTTCATTTTAATTGTAGTTAAAGTTTTAGTAATTTTGTGTTTTGTCATTTTTATTAGTTTTTTTGTTTTGTCTTTTTTTTGGAATGTGTGTAAAGTTCTAATTCATTTAATTTCAGTTTTAGTTTTAGTCATTTTAGTAAATTAAGTAAAACTAAATGAAAATGAGATGTAAATTTAGTTGTTTTTATTTGTTGTCATTTTTATTATTATTATTTTTTTTATACAGTGGGTACGGAAAGTATTCAGACCCCCTTAAATTTTTCACTCTTTGTTATATTGCAGCCATTTGCTAAAATCATTTAAGTTAATTTTTTTTCCTCATTAATGTACACACAGCACCCCATATTGACAGAAAAACACAATTAATGAGGAAAAAAAATTAACTTAAATGATTTTAGCAAATGGCTGCAATATAACAAAGAGTGAAAAATTGAAGGGGGTCTGAATACTTTCCGTACCCACTGTATGCCTATAGTTTTTACTCATTTTTATTTCATTTCAGCTTGAGTTATTTTAATACATCAGAGCAGAAATGTTAAAAGACGATTTTCAGTCATGTTTCCTGAACACGCCCCCTGTCTGTCATTGGTCAGTCAGGCAGATAGCCCTGCCCACTCTCACTCCATTGGTTGATTCAGTAGTTGACATTAGCCGCTCAAACAGATCAGAGTCAAAATATTTTGTCTTTTTATAACTCATTTGTTTTTATTTTAATCTATTATGTCAATATGAACAGTTTGAAACGATCCAATAAAATCATCCAGTTAAGTGCTGTGAGTACACTAGAATAACATGAATATAATCAGCGCTCGAGCTCAAACTCTCATCATCAAACAGTATTTCTTCACTGTGATGATCCAGACGCAGTGAGAATGAAGAAATCATGTGTGATTTACTCCAGATTGAGACACACACAGCTCTCCAGATCAGCAGAAGGAGGCTCTGAAGCGTTTCTCGTGTAATGTGTGTCATTAATAGCCAATCAGTGTCCTGTGAGACTCAGTGTGCTAACAGTTTGAAACGATCCAATAAAATCATCCAGTTAAGTGCTGTGAGTACACTAGAATAACATGAATATAATCAGTGCTCGAGCTCAAACTCTCATCATCAAACAGTATTTCTTCACTGTGATGATCCAGACTTGGTGAGAATGAAGAAATCATGTGTGATTTACTCCAGATTGAGACACACACAGCTCTCCAGATCAGCAGAAGGAGGCTCTGAAGCGTTTCTCGTGTAATGTGTGTCAATAATAGCCAATCAGTGTCCTGT